ACGAATAAGGGCGCGTGCAACACTTCCTGATACACTGCAGGACCTTGAAAGGGCTCTTCGGGAGGAATGGGCAATCCTCCAGCAAAGGGACATTTCCCGACTGGTGGAAAGTATGCCGAGGCGTCTTCAAGAAGTAGGGAAGGCGAGAGGAGGAAAAACGCGCTACTAAACGATGATGTAATTAATTCCTTTTAGAATAATAATGGTTCGTTTTTCAATTTTTTTTTCTCTAATCTTTCTTACTCAATCACATTTTGATTATTAAAGGTAAAAAAGATTATAAAATTCCATAAATACTGAAGTATTATCTACAAATACCATGTATTAGATACAAATACAACTTTACAGAAATATTTCTATGAGGAGTTAGTCGGGGGTGTGGTCAAATAAATAGTAAATTAAAATATAGTAATCATTTTAATTTTTTGCCTACGTTTCGACCCACTTTTCAGGTCGTCTTCAGGGCGTAGGATGTAGCATTGCAGGAGGCAGTTGAAGCACTCAGTGTATATATATGCAGTTTTCATAAATGTTATTGTTGGAATTGTTCAATATGTAATCGTATAGATTACACAGATATAAAAACTAAAATTTGTATATACCGGTACATAAACAAAGAAAAATGCCCAAAATGAAATATAAATAAATATAGCGGCCTTCTTTATCAGTGCCACTTTGTCGGACTAAAAATGTTTCGTGATACTTAATTATTTATTATAATCAAATAAATAATTGAAATATACAGTCGTAAAAGGATATAGCTGGTGTCAATCAATGTAAATATAATAACATAGTAAAGACGGCTATGAATAACATATGGTAATTAATTGTTTAAAATAATATTTTGTACAGTCTATAATTTTCACTTTCACTTCTCTTTGTTTGGAACTATTTATTTCTGCTATGAAGGGGGTGGTATCCAAAATCTAATTCTCCACTTCCGAAAATTACGTATAAGTTTGGTAAAGAAATACGCTGAACAAATTAATTGAAGATATCTAATTTAAAAATATTAATAAACAAACCAAGTTTATTTTAGTAATTAAAAGAGAAAACTCAAAGACTTTGTTTACATCCTGATATGAACTCCATTTTAGATTCACCATTATCAATAAATTGATAAAGAAAAAAAAAAAAAAATACCATCTGTGAAGGGCCTAAAATTTAGATATTTATACGGATATAACAGTCTTAGGCCAGTAAAGAGATATTTTGACCAAGAAAGCCCTCCTCGCCAATCGTAGGTAAAAAGACCTATAAAATTTCTTCCTTCCATCGTTTGGCTCGTACCACTGCCATACCGCATAAGCTATTCGTATCTCACTCCCTTGGTTACAAACAGTAAAATTTAGTTAAAGTGCTGAACTTAATTCTGCCTTCGTGAAAGGTCCTAATGACTGTTGATTACTTCAATTGTAGTAAATATAATTGTCAATGATAAGACACTTATATCACAAGAACATGAACGAAAACGTAGGAGGTTATCAATAACATCGAGGAATAGAAATCCAACGTGAATAGGTTCTCTGGAAGAATTTAGTTTAAATCGAGAGACAATCAGCATTTCTCACAATCCCTTCCATAGGGTCCTTCACGGGGTCTTTAATAATAATAAAAAGGCTTAGCGAACCCGAAAGTTCGATGCCGACACCACCAATCGCTTATTACACACCTCCCTCCACCGTTCGCCATCCAAAGCCAGTCCCTTCAGATCGGCTTTAATGCAATCTTCCCATCATCGCTTCGGTTTACCCCTCGGACGCTTACCATTCGGCACAGCAAATATTAACCTTTTAGGAAATCTCTCGTTACTAAGTCCAACAACTTTACAAGCCCATTTGATTCGCCGCGATGAAATTATCTCAATTATATTACTCGGATACAGTTCACGCAATTCGGCGTTGTGTAACCGTCTGAACTCTCTGCTTAACTCAGCCTTCTTCGGTCCGAATATTCTACGCAATACTTTATTTTCAAAAACCTTAAGACGCTGCTCATCCCTTAATGTAAGCGGCCAAGTTTCGCACCCATAAAGAACTGTAGGCAAGATAATTGTTTTATAGATTCTCATTTTTAAGTTTCGGGACAAGAGGCGCGAACTAAGTAGTTTTGTCACAGAAAAATAACAAGCATTTCCCGCCTTCAGTCTAACCTTAATTTCTTCTTCAATTTCGTTATTTCTAGCTATCGTAGAACCTAGATACCTAAACTTATCTACCTGTTCAAACATATTACCATCTATATCGATATCACCAGTAGTATCGCCATTTTTGCAGCTAACCATATATTTGGTTTTATCCACGTTTATTTCCAGTCCTAGTTCTTTACCGGCTTTCATTAACATTGTCGTATTTAGTTTTATAGTTTCAAGGTCTTCGCATAACAGTACCAGATCATCCGCATAGCCCAGCACGGATGTTGTCCCACCCAGTTCCAACCCTTTTTCGGTACGCATTACTTCCCTAATGGCATGTTCTAATGTCAAATTGAACAGGACAGGCGAAAAGAAATCCCCCTGTTTTAAACCCGAACGAAACTCAAATTTTTCCGACAGATTATTACCGATTCTAACTTTATTGAGTGTCTCCGTCAAGCACATCCTGACTAGATTTACTAATTTTTTAGGAATCCTCTGCTCGGTTAGAATATTATACAGTTTCTGGCGGTCAATAGAATCGTAAGCCTTTTTAAAATCTATATACAGCTGGTGAACAATACCGTTGTACTCCATTTTTTTCTCTAATATTTGCCGTAAAGAAAATATTTGATCAATAGTCGAACGATTCCGTCTAAATCCGCATTGGTAGTCTCCGATAATTTCCTCGGCGTATTCCGTGATTCGACTGGTTAAGATTAAAGTGAATATTTTATAACATACCGGAAGGCGTGAAGTTCCTCGATAGTTATTACAATCCGTCCTCGGACCCTTTTTGTGAATCGGAATAAGAATAGATTCTTTCCATTCTTCAGGTAATTTCTCATTCACCCAGATCTTTTTAACCAACCGATGTATTTTAGAAACTCCAGCTTCCCCGCATGCCTTAATTAGTTCAGTAGGAATATTGTCGGTTCCCGCTGCTTTATAAGATTTTAATTTTCCGATAGCTAATTCAACTTCCTCTTTACTCGGTCCTTCTATCAACGGTTCAGCACTCTGGTACTCAGAAGGAGGACACAGATCATAATTTCCCGTATTTAAAATATTGTCAAAGTGGTCCTTAAATTTATTCAATATGTCAACCGGATCGGTCAGAATATTGTTATTATCATCCCTAATTCCAGATGTTACGGACCCTACACATTTACGTGATCTGTTTATACCTTTGTACATGTATCTTACGTTATTTTCGATTCTATTAGTTTCTATTTCAATTATTTTATTTTTAAGATACTCCCTTTTTTTATTTTTGAGCAATTTTGTCGTTTCGTTCTTTAAGGTTTGGAAGTATTCCAGATTGTCTTCGCTAGGATTATTTAGAGCTTTTAATTTAGCGGCTTTTCGTTTTTCGCACATGTTTAAGCAATCTTCATCAAACCATGGTTTGTTATTCTTTTTTTCCTTTTTTCTTAGACACGAGTTACCGACCGCTTTAATATTATCCCTGATAATATTTGACCCATAACTTGTCAATATCCTCGTGGTCCTCGTCAGGAAGCTCTAAAGCTTCAAACCTATTCTTAACATCTAGCTCGAATTGGGTTCTAATTGATGGATTTTTTAATTTGTCCTAATTAAAATTCTCAAAATCGAAACGGTTTTCTTTTCACTTTTTTATATTAAGTTTTTGTCGAAGTTTCGCGATTACTAATTCATGATCCGACCCACATTCTGCTCCGCGATAAGACCGTACATTAATTATACTGCATTGCCAGCTATGTTGTATCAAGACATGATCGATTTGATTTCGTGTTTGCGAATCCGGTGATGTCCAAGTAGATTTATGAATATCCTTATGTTTAAATGTCGTACTTTTAATTATCACGTTTTTCGAGATGGCAAAGTTTAACAGACGGATCCCATTATCATTACTATATTCGTGCAAACTTTCTTTACCAATCATCGGAATATAAACTTCTTCCCTTCCTACCTTTGCGTTCGCGTCACCTACAATTATTTTCATGTAGTTTCGCGGTAGTTTATCATAAACCCGTTCGAGTTTATCGTAAAATTCACTTTTGACTTCATCGTCACTGTCTTCGGTCGGACAATGTATGTTTATTAATGCGATTTTAAACCAACGTCCCTGAAATGTAGATACCGAAATTCTATCACTAAAGAATTGTACGTCCCTCAAAGCGGATAGTAATCTACTCCTAATTAAAAACCCGGTACCCAAACAATGATTCCCGCTTCCTCCGTACCAAATAGTGTACTTTCCTTCCCTCATCGAGCCCTCCCCTGGCCAGCGAACCTCTTGCAGAGCCACGACATCCAAATTGTACCCATTCACCTCATTCGCGACCGATTTTAGCCCCCCTGCTGTGTTTAAGCTCCTTATGTTCCACGTACCAATATTTAAATCCCTACATTTCAACTTGCGCCATGAATCCCCTAAAGCAGTCCCCATCCGGAGACCCGAACAGGGGACTAGTTTACTTCCGGATAATGAGCGTTTTACCTTAGGGAGATCCATGACTATTTGTGGTGTTTGGTGAACTAAAGATATGTGAGTAGGGCGTTCAATCCTACGTCACACCCTCCAGCAAGTCTGGTGGGCCCCTACCTCCAGCAAGTCTGGAGGTCCCCTCCCTCCAGCAAGTCTGGAGGGCTCCTCTCATTGTTGGTCGGCGAGTCCATCGGACTTAGCCGGGAGGAACTTCCAAGGAATTTCCACCGACCATCCCCACATCCGCCACCCGTGGGACGTTCCCCATACGCGGTAATAAGCCCGCGCGAGGTCACGGGGTCTTTGGTATACCCCATTTACCCAAACATATTATATGTTTAGATAATATAAATCGAAATACAAAATTTATGATATTATATGACCATTGAGCAGGCCAAAAAATTCAACGAAGACATTTACTGGAAAATGGTGGAAAACAAATCTCTTCAACTCCTTAACAATGTAAGTTTTAAGCTATTTATTGCTTGTTTTTTTTTAACGAACTGCCTATTTGAATAATTTCAATGGGATTTATTTTAAAGGAGTTGCTCAACTTACACATCGTGGCCAATGAAGAACCTATTTTCACTGCCTGTGGATTATTTTCATTTGATAACTCCCTGATATGTTCGGTAAGTTAACCGTTTTGTATTACTAATATTGTAAATATTTAAAAAACTAAATCTGGCGTGGTTCAAGCATTTTTCTTCAATATACACATATTTTTAAAATCAGAGAAAGTCAAAATAAAAATTATATAAAGCATGTGACATATTAATTTAAAACATTGATCATAAAAAAATGGCTGAGTTCGAAATATTAAAGGGAATGTAAATTAAAGAAAATACATCAATGTATATATCATAATAAAAATGGACATTTTCGAGAAATTATAGCTTTATACAAATCAATTATTAATTATAATTATTATTAGGCTAAAATTTTTATTAATTTTTCACAAACGCTTTTTTTTAATTTCTATTAAGTTGCGGGCACTTCCAGCCCGGCGTCTCTGGGTAAATGCCAGGGTTTCTTTACCCAGAGACCGGCACTGCTTACCATGGAACTAGATGAAGCAAAGAAGAGAGTGGTAAGTGGGAATATAACATTAAACGGCCTTCCAAACAATCGAAACCTCCTGGCATGTGCAAGATGAGCATAAATGGAAAAAAGCTACAATGGCGCCGATTTCTAGATAATGAGAGACAAAGAAATGATTTCATTAATTGGAACATTTACCACGAGACGAGAAAAATAACTCTAGTTTCATCTTTTCAGAGCATTGAATCTTCGAAATTGCAAGAAGCTCAACGAATGATACACATCCCAAGCATTCGTGAATCAAACCATGTCCATACGAAGTGGAGTACGTTAAAAACGAATCTTTTATAGACTACTCCAAAATGGGGCGCATGCAATCCGTTAGAGCACCCCCATACAGTAGGAGACAAAAAAAGTGAATAACCCGTGTAATCAAATATTCGATTTCCAGTCAAATGTTTTAAAAATTTGTCCCTGTAATGATTTGATCATTATTAAGAAAGTTATGAGTGTTACTTCAATAAATTTGATTGCTTTTACCTAACTAATAAATGTTTTTCAAATTAACTCAAAAGCTATAAGTAAGAATTAATGGCTTTAAAAGATTATTTGGTGGAAATATTATCAAAAACGTTACATAGAGCATTGTCTCAAGCCTGCAAAAAAAAAAATTGAACCAAAAATATAATGCCCAGAGAACAAAAATTACACATTTTTTTACTCTCTTAAAAATGTTTAGATTTTGTTTCTACAGGCTTTTGCAGTGTGGCTGTCAATATATACCATATAACATTTGTTATACTTATATTAGTAGATTCTCAACATTTGACGTGAATAGTTTTTGGAAATTATTTGAACTGAAATATGTGAATAGTTAAACTTGATCCTCTTAAGGTGGCAGACGTTATTTCATCAAAGATCCAAAAATTTTGATCAGCATTCATCCCAGCAATATGGCAAGCATACCGATGTCGTCCATCCTGGATACCTTAAAATACGAATATGAGTATCTAGGTTCTTGTAATTTCACTAGATTTGTACAGGTTCGTTGCCTTCTGTTGCCTTAAATAAATATGCTGCAAAATATTTCCCTAAAACGTTTGTTATACATAAGAATTTATTTTTATTATAATATAGATTTATAATCCAAATTCCCTACAGAACAAAGAATAATCACTCGAACCGAGCCATTATTAGCAAAGATGTAGCCATTTAATTGTGTTTTATACACATGTTTTGGTTTATAATTTGAAATGAATCGTCGTATTTATCGACCAAGTAAAACAAAAATTAATGTTTCCCTCTTATAATGCATTGAATTTACTTACTTCCATATTATTTATCATTTGTTCACTAACCCATATGCCATGCAAATGGTTCGTATGGAGAACATAATTATTATACATTTATGGTTTATTTAAATTTGTCCGATTTATTATAAGTAAATGACCCCGAAATATTGGGCAGTAAGTGCCGTGCCTTCTCTCTCAGCTTGTCCCAAATCAGCTATTTTATTAGAAGTAACTTTGTCTAAACATATACATTTTGATATATACTTGTATTTTTTTTTCCAGGTAATATCTCAGATAACGACATACCTGGTAATTATCCTTCAGGTCGCAAAAAGTAGTGGGACGACAGTTGAACCGCCCATGAATGCAAAATCTTCATAATAATTGGAACTAAAGATCACAGGATCAAATTAAAACCAAAAGGAAAGGATATTATTGTCGAGAATGATTTCCGGATGTATTTATCAAAACGTAGAACTAGGATTAATGTTTCAATAGTTATATTTCATATTTTTGACCATACTATATTTTCTATGTTTACCAAGTTTAATCCCATAATTGTACATAGAATATATTTTGCAATATTTTTTTTAACTTAAGGAACTAAAAATTAATCAATGGAATCAGGAGTGCCGTAATATCTTTTAAGAAAATGTATAAAATCAATTCAATCCTCAGGACCCTACTCAATGTTCGGCAGAACTTATATCAAGATCAAAGATAACAGCAGTATTGCAAGTAGCAGCAGTGGTGATGATAGTGACATGCACAGATTTGCCAGTATAATTCTATTGTATATGTTTTGTTTTAAATATATGATTTATTTAGGTTAATAAATAATCTATTATCAATTAAACTAATTAGTAAATACCTTTTCCCTTTTTAGTTTTTTTATTTTAGAGTGACAACTGTCGAAAATTCTTTATTGAGATATTATACAATATGTCACAGCTAAGGACAATAGTACTAGTTATAAAAGAGTAGCATATTCACACTACATACAATAAATAAATATAAATTAACAACAAAATAATAACACTAAAAGTAAATGTATTTAAACTAATCAAAATAACTACTTAAATACGCACTTACTTTTATATAATATTTACAAAATTCATTCACCAGCGGCAACTAAAAATTTATAGCCCACTGTGAGTCGGCGCCGTTCTCTGCAGTTTCAATCATTATTCATCCAATATTGATTAGAGTTTATTTTTCTCTCAAAATTTAATCCAATGGGTATGATTTAGTACAGAGGTTTCTTAAATAGGTTTCGCGTAATCATTACCTGAATTTTGCAACAGCACTAATACATCAATACAACAGACACAAACTGCTTTTCTACTAATCCGGAAAAAAACGTGATCTGGAAAACCCAACAACTATCTCTTTACTCACTTTTTCTTTCAGAATATTACCCAAAAATCTTGTAAGTTATAGTTGTATCGTGTATAAGTTGTAGCTCATCTGGTGGGTGGGATGGCCGAACGGGCTAATGTGTGTTCACAGCACCACCGTTGCCCGGCAACTTGATCTATGAGACAATGGATTTAAAATAGTCACGAGTTAGCGTCTCGGTGCCGGGGGAGTCTTTTAAATCCCCTGTTCCGGCAAAACCCCGTATAGCCTTAAAGGCGAGGGAGGAGAGGACCCCCCCCCCAAAAAAAAGCTGTTGCTCATCATTTATCCAGTTTTGAATTGCAGTAGATATTAATTTTCAACAACAGTAAATGGAATTTATGTACTAATTACCTTTACTTTAACTTGAATTAGTTAAAATCAAATTATAGTCAAAGCCGGATTCTTATATAGTAAAACCTCCCAGTATTTGCTATATAATATTCAATTAAAAACCCGTAAAATATTCATCAAATTACACAGAAAAAACAACATAAAATATGCAGAGAAAATCCCCAGGTATGCAATGGTATAATAATACAGCAAACACATTAAAATATATTAATGTTCCTTAATTAGGAAATTTAAAAAGGGATTAGTTGAAAGATTAAAAATCAAACGAAGATGATTACAAATTTTATTTATTATTTTCTTACCTTCATAAACTAGAAAAATATAAATTTCCAAAAACACTGCTATATACTATAGTAAACTACTATATATTACAGTAATATTTTATAGTGCTTTCCAACGTTTCGACCTACGCTGTAGGTCTTCATCAAAGCATTTCATCTAGCATACCAGGAAAAAGTTGTCAAACTGTTAAGATTAAGTAATATATAAACGTAAAAGAGGCCCATAAAAATCATGAAATAAAAATATATATTTATTAATGGCTAGAAACGTAACATGAAACTTTATAAAAACTCAAATATCAAAGTAATACCAATTTGCGATTAGTAACAAAAGAATTAGCGTCATTTAATTCATTTTGATTGAAAATGAGCTTGGAATGTCATCTCCAATTTCGCATATTGATTTTGGTTAAAAAATATAAAATATTTTGCATTTATCATCAAATATGAAATACAAAATCTAATTAAATACACCTCAATATAATATAATTTACTATTAGGAACAGCAGTTTAAAAACTACACGCGAACAAAATGACCAATGTTATATAAATGTGGGCCTTTGTTAAAATATCTCGATAGTTTATGGATGCGTATTCCAATTATAGGTGATTGTAATGTTTAATAATCATATCATGTTTTTATATACTTATCTTTTTTTTCACTGAATATGAAAACAATTAAGTCTTGGCACGTCACCAAAATGTAGTTGTTTATTTATTCTATGAACATCAAGAGCCATACAAATATATTTTATTTACAATTGAAAAAACGCTGCAAATTATTTCACAATGGTTTATTATCTCCAAACACTTATACATCTAAAGTAACATTACCATCCGAGTTACAAAGAAAAAAAAAACAAAAGGTGATTCCAATTATTGGACTAAACTGTTTCTTTTTAATTATTAGTAATATGCTAAAAAAAAATAGCATTAGTTCAGTAACACATTTAAAATTTAAAAACCAAACCAAGGATATAACATTTGCAGTAGAACACATAAAAAAAACCGGAGACCATATCTTTGCTCCTAATTGTCCGATTTTAACGATTTTTTTTTTAAGAAATTTCGTTAAAACTTTTAAACTTTAAAAACTATACAATATCAACAAAAAAGTAAAAACTTTTCGAGTTATTCGGAATTTAATTTTACCATCCCTCGTAACTTTTTTTCCAGCTTCTTTTCGTTGAAGTATGTTATATAGATAAATTTAAAGGGCGTCGAGAAAATGACTTTAGCGAAGTTTCATTGAAATCTGTACATTCGTTTAGGAGCTACAGTCTATAGCAACGCAGGTTTTTCGGCCGCCATTTTGAAAGTTAAAGGCGGAGAGTAATGTCGATGAAGGAGGATCATCCTCGGGTGACCTCTGATTTTATATCAAAATTTGAAAAAAAATCGGTCCAGTAGTTTCGGAGAAAATGCGCGGACGGCGGACGGCGGACGGACGGACAAAAAAATTTTTATTCGTTTTTCGAATTCTACGCGTCTTGAAACGTGAAACCTCAAATTTTGAGAGCGGGTTATGTTTTTGAATCTTTTGGTCGATCACAATGTTTCATTATTGAAAATAATAAACCAAAATTAGCAAATCAATAAAATTCAAATAAACCATCCATAGATCTCGTGCAATTTTGAATCAACACTGTCAACAAAAGCTAGGTATACATAAAAATGGTACATCATATTCATAAACCCCCTCCCCCTCGTTGGCTTTATGGCAACTATTTTTCTTCTTTTTTTTTACGACTGCATTAAAAAACCAGGCCTTGGCTAGGATGTAAGTTATTAAATAAACTTTAGTGTTTTTTTTTAATCAGTATTTCTAGAGTGGATAGATTTTATAAAAAAAGCAGATTGCGGGGAATGGATAAATTTATTATGAGTTTGTCCTTCCTGGATATTATTCAGGGCAAGATTACAGGCCGCTGCGTGAACGTCAAAGATAACAAATAGCCCAAGTGCTGCGATCCTACGTTATAATCGATGGTTAGTGACAAAAATCCCTGTTTTTAAAGACAAAATTGGAAAATTTATTATCTTAATAACTTCATGAATATTTTAATATTTAATATTGTCTTTTTCTTTCATTATATTCAATCCATATATATATATATATTTTTCTAATTCAATCAATTTTTCCCCTTCTAATCAAATGCAAAATAGTCCTAGTTCATTAAAGTTTCGGGAACCTATTAATTTTTAAATTTTCTGAAAATTAATTAATAATAAACGAGTATGATTGATACTTAATATTTCATTTTAATATTAACAAAAGTTAAACAATAATTTGATAAATGTTTTGAATATAACTAATTCTACAATAACATTTATTGTATATATAAGATTGATTCAATGTAATATTCAATATTATGATGAATAATCCACTTATATATCGAATAGATTAGATTCACTGTAGGTATATATTATATTTCGAGTAACACTCTTAAGAAATTCAATTGTCAAATATTTGTGAATGGGTATCTGTTCTCGATCTATAGAAATGGTGTCTGTTGGCGCCATCTGTGTGTCGTAGCTGATTGTAAATGATCCAACAATACTTGGGAGCTATAATAGAATAACATTACTAGAAATGTTAGAATTATATTGTATATACCTATGATTCTGTTTAGAAGTTTTTATTTCATTTTATTTGTTTATTTTTTTTTTTTTATTTGCCTTCTTCATCAATATTATTTATTTACTTCTTATATTTATATTTATTTGTATATATTGTATGAATGAGAACTTTTAGCCCTAATGCTTATAGCAGTGGCTGATTGTATTATTATTCAATAAATAGATTAAAAAAAAAAAAGAAATGTTAGAGGTTAGTATTAGTTTTTTTACTGACAAATAAAAAGTTTGTTAAATATCTGAATACCTAGGACTCCATCTGGACAAACGTCTAACTTGGAATCCTCATACCAGACTGAAACGACGAGAAACAGCTCGACGTTTCCGACTATTTCAACACTAACTAGATAAACGCTCTAACCTTCCAATTAATTACAAAAGACTCATTTACATGACTATAATAAGGTCTATTTGGACTTACGGAGTTGAGCCATGGGGCTCCACCAAACCTTCAAATTCCTTTCGTATCCAATCCTTACAATCCAAAATCCTTCGTAAAATCCTCAATGCTCCTTACTTTGTTACAAATAAAATAATCCACAATGACCTTAATGTATCAGATTTGGCCCAATCCAGATATTTTTCCTTCCATAATAAACTTCATAACCATCCCAACCCTCTTGTTTCTAACCTTGCTTCCAATTCAATTCCTGATAAGCCTCCGAGGCGTCTGAAAAGGAGATGGCCACGTGATCTCCTAATATAGACATATTATTAGAGTGCTACCAATGGGTAGTTTTTCAACATGTGTTTCATGTCATTATATCCATGTGCGAATTTACTAGATGTATTTTTTGTATACAGTTGTAAATATCATATAAATAAATAAAAAAAATATCTGAATATTAATTTGTCCGGGCGAATGATCCACATAATATATTGTTCATAAAGAAGTGGTAATATAATATCGAAATAAGTAAATGCAATGAATTTTGAAATTGTGGAATTCATTTATTTTTTTGTTTTTGTAGAAAATTTAGTGCGTTTACAAATTATCACATTTTTTCATGTATATGATTTGAGTTTTCCATAAGTATTTCCATTTCTTTATAACTTTTTCCTGAATTTTTCTAGAGGATGCGCTTTCGCAAATTTTACAGACTTAAAAGATAATACTAAAAATTATGGCTTAATCTTTGTTGTTTTATAAAAATAAAAAGTCTTTAAGAAATAATATTTA